AGTGCTGTGTGCTAAAAAGAAAAAGAGAGCAAGATAAAAGGGTGTGATGGGGCTTCCCTGGTGGCGCAGTGGTTGAGAGTCCGCCTGCTGATGCAGGGGACACGGGTTCGTGCCCCGGTCCGGGAGGATCCCACGTGCCGCAGAGCGGCTGGCCCCGTGAGCCATGGCCGCTGAGCCTGCGCATCCGGAGCCTGTGCTCCGCAATGGGAGAGGCCACAACAGTGAGAGGCCCGCGTACCGCAAAAAAAAAAAAAAAAAAAAGGGTGTGATGATGAATAGGGGGAAGGGGTGGGGCTTCCTCTGAGGAAATGATGGTACTGACATCCACGTGAAGTAAGAACGTAAACCATGTGGATATATGACATGAATATGATAGAATACAGTGTAAACCATGTATTATCTATCGCTGTGTAACAATTTATCCCAAAACATAGCAATTCAAAACAGTAAATGCATGTTATCTCACATGCATTTCTCAGGATTAGCAATCTGAGAGAGGCTTAGCTGGATGTTTCTGCTCCGGGTCTCTCGTGAAGTTGCAATCACGCTGTCTGCTGAGATCACACTCGTGGCTCAGTTAGTCATGTATTTGCTTTCCAGTCCACTCCCGTGGTTCTGGGCTGACCTCAGTTCATTGAGGGCTGTTAGACCGAGGGCTTCAGTACCTTGCGTCACAGCAGCTTGCACGCCCCGGGCATGTGATGGGAGAGCGCACTGCAGGCTTCCACAGACTAATATCAGAAGTGACGTACCATCACTATTTTCTGTAATCCATACCTTAAGCTGCCTCTCTTTCCTGACTTGTCTCCCTCGTTGCCTACATGTCGTCTCCCAGTTCAGCTTTTTGCCTTCCTCTCATTTCCCTTTTCATCCAAGCTTTCTAGAAGAACAGTTCATATTGGGTTAGCTGTTCATTTGGGTTTTTCCGTAAGACGTTACGGGGCTTCCCTGGTGGCACAGTGGTTGAGAGTCCACCTGCCAACGCAGGGAACACGGGTTCGTGCCCCGGTCTGGGAAGATCCCACATGCCGCGGAGCGGCTGGGCCCGTGAGCCATGGCCGCTGAGCCTGTGCGTCCGGAGTCTGTGCTCCGCAACGGGAGAGGCCACGGCAGAGAGGCCCGCATACCGCAAAAAAAAAAAAAGACGTTACGGAACATCTTATGCAACGTCTTATGGAAAAACCCGAACGAACTTTTTGGCCAACCCAATATTTGCCGTCTTAACTTTATCACAACTTGTCCTTTTCTCCTTCCGCAGATCAGTTCCTACTCTTTACCACTCTTCTCTGCCAAAGGTGACCAGATGGTGGTAGAGACAATCAAATTTCTGCTGATTTCCCTTGTGCTACTTGATTCTTTCTCTCAGGACTGTCTCCCCTCTTGATTGCTAATGTGTCGTATTTTTCCTTCTGCTTCTGAAGCTACCAGCCTCCCCTGGATCCAGTTCTTCTGCCAGCTTTGTAAATATAGGTATTTCATGGAGTTTTGTTCCTCGCTCTGTTTTTACTATACTTGGTCTTCAAAGCTGACCTCTAGCAAAACTAAACTAGTAATCCAGGACCATGCCCCCCATATACCCACCACCATTTACAAACAACACACACACACACACTCACACACACACACGCGCGTGTGCGCGTCATTCCACCTGTATTCTTTGATCATTTTTAGCTAGTGGAATCCAGACACCCTAGTAAAAACTGTGAATCATATTTCCCCTGCCTTTACACATTCTCTAACTCAGCAGGATATGTTGATTGTCTCCCAGCTGTCTCTCCTCTGCCTCTCTCTCTTTAGCCCATGAATTGCCCTAGATCAAGCCCTTACTGCTTTTCACCTGGTCTCCAGATAACTGATCCCAGTCTCTGTTCTGGTCAGTCATCATCTACCCTTGATGCTGCCACCAGTTATTTGTCTAAGTCATGCTTCTCAGTATTTCAGCACTGAGGTTACCTAGCCATCATCGACTCCTGACCCACTGGCAGAGCTCAGATTCCTTGCTTGGCACACGCTGCATTTGGCCATCTGGTCTCTGTTGGTCTGATTGGCACAACTTGTGTTCCATTCACCCTTATATTTGATGCTCCTGAAGTATAAAAATTCTTACGTTTCCTTCAAAAGGTCACGTGTGATTTTATGCTTCTTGCTTTTTACCTCTTTTATTTTCCTGCAATGTATTTTCTTCTCCCTTTTCCCCTTGCTGACCCCACAGGTCATTCAAATTACGGGTCCTTTGTCCTGTTCCCCTCTCCTCCCTAACCTTGCCCCCCAGATAACAGAGTTAGTAACTTCCTTTTCTTTCCCCCCACCTTTGCATAGGTCTCTATGATTGCTCCCGCCCTCTGTTTTACTGTGTATCCTGTCTCTCTCAGGTGGTGTGAGCTGTTTGAGGGCAGTGTCTTTGGCTTATTTGTCTTTATGTCCCCAACACTTAGCAGAATGCCTGACATGTTGTTACCACTTAGTAAATGTTGATTAAATAACATGCAATTGGACTGAGTTAGTATGGCTTTAGGTATGGTTTTACAGAGGAAATCAAGAGTCCAAAGACCTAAGTTCATCAGCGCCCTTGCTTCAGAAACACTGTTTGGTTACTTGGTAGAATTTAGCACTGACAGACAGAAGAGGTTGAAAAAAATAAAATGCCTCCTAACTTAGAGTATTAGATATCAAGCAATTAAAAGGTTTTCTAAAGCCAATTGTAAGGCATTTATGTTGTGCTTTACAAACATCTTGCTGTTCCAGCTTTATACAATTACCAACTTTTTAAAAGTTGTTTCGATTTCAAATATTTTCTCTTAGATATAGTGTCCCATGCAGCATTTCAGTATTTCTATATCACGGTGCAATCTGGAGACAGAAACCACACGATAATTGATCAGGGAGAACTTGTTATAAACAATGAGGGGTTGGCTACAATGGGCAAGGGAAACTAAGGAATATAGGAGTAGCAGATACAGGGAGCAGAGCACCCAAGGAAGGAGCAAATCTGGAAAAGGCTGGGGTCCAGACCTCGCCGGAGAAGATGTGGCGTATCCTACCAGATGGCAGACAAGTTCACTGCAGTGCCGCACCGGCAGGATTCACGGGAGCCTGCCTTCTGCAGTGCTGCACTGCAGAGCTGCCCGGGAATCTGCCAGTGTGGGCGCGCCCTGCGAAGCCATCCTTGGGGTCTGCAGAGAAGCTACCCTGGGGGTGGGTGCCACGTGCCTCCAGGTATAAGAAGAGAACCGGGAACCAGGGCCCTTCCTCCTCCAGTGTCCCTCCAGCACCCTCTAAAACTGTACCAGTGGCAAGGCCACAGGAAGACAGCCCTGGAAAGCAGTGGACTGACAACTGGTGCAGTCCGCCCGCTCCAACTACTGAGCCTCTGTATGTTCCCATTTAACAAGTTACAGCTGTAACGGAAATTAGAAAAATTATGTCCGTATAACATTTATCTTGAAGCCTAGTGCCCAACGAGAGTAGTGCAATTAGATGAGGATGAGAAAGAAGATGGAGAGACCCCTGTGTGTTCAGAGGTAGTTAAATGGCATTTTTAGATAAAATATTAAATATCTAAATTTTATTTTCCTTCATCTAAATAAATTAAAGACACTATTCTTATACTTGGGGCTTAAGAATTAGTTTTGGCTTAGAAACATAAAAACTAAGAGTCTTTTTGACTGTAATTGAGCCACAGCTAGTAAAAAGAGAGGAAGCACCGTGTCTGTGTGTCATGCATGTTTGCCTAGCGTAAAATTCACCACTCCTAATTCAGTCCGTTAGTTAACCAAAATATTCAAGAGTCAGGAATCCCCTCTGGCCATTGAGCCAAGATAGGAAACAATATTTTGTATGAATGGTCTGAAGAGAGGAGAAGTTAAGTGGGGAAAAGGTTTGGGACCTGGTAGCTGAGATGCCAGTCGCTGGGACAAATGAGGCTACTTTGCACAGACCACGCATGCTGTTTGCCTACATGCAGACAGACATGGTAGTAGCATTAGAGCAAATAGTGGGGTCATAATTTGGGAGTACCTCAGTATCATGAGTCAGTTCTTAGGGAAAAGACTGACATGAATTTTTGTTCCATAAGCCTTAACAACAGATATAACCCATGGGGGCTGCATTAAATAGTTCTTTGGAAGGAGTTTTTGTTATTATAGGAAGAAAACAGGAATAAAATCAGTCTCATATGACCCATAGAGGTTTCTTAGGAATATTGATGACAGAATAGATGTTTCATGAATCTTGGCCTATACTTGTTGATATTTGGGTCTGTGACTTAGAAGCAAGGAGAGATTCGAGGCCAAGTCTGATGTCCCTTGCTCGGTATGACCTTATTACTTATTACCCATCTCAAAACTCTCTCCCTGGTTGTCACTGTTTGTGTTTTATTTCTTACTTGATATTAGTGGACAGCTAAAAGTTTTAGAGTTTACTTTTTCATCATCGATTTTTCCCAACTACGAGAAGTGTGTGAGAAGTTGGGGAGCTAGTGAAGTCAGGGGTGGGGACAGGTGTACCCCCAGCTGTGGAGTAGTTTTGATTAACAGTTATACCTGGAGGGTATTGACTTGGATTACTAGACTTACCACACTATTGGCCTTCAGATTTTCAGACAATAAGGGACCTTCACCTTGCTGAAGAACTAACCAGAGCTCCCAAGTACACATAGGGAAGTTGGGTTCATATCTCCAATTACCTTTTCAGTCGACTCTTAAGGGTTTCAGTTGTAGAGATCCCCATGACCTTCAGGTGGGGAGCGTGCAGGTCAAGGTTGGATCATCTTACAAGTTCCTCAAGACTCATTATTTTCTCTCCTAAACATTTCAACATTTTAAGAGAGATGATTTGGAGCCTCCATTTTGTCATTAGTTAGTGCGTATTATGAGACATTTGAACCATTGTGGAATGTTTGGTGTCATAACTCTTGGGTTGCTAAAAGCAGTTGGTGTTAGCGTCCACGCCTAATTGTAAGTGGGTTTTTGTTTTCTTTTGTTTTTTTGTTTTGTTTTCAGGTTTTTCTGAAGAGTGATCGAGTGGCCAGAATGGTTCAGAGTGGAGGATGTTCTGCTAATGACTTCAGAGAGGTGTTTAAGAAAAACATAGAAAAACGTGTGCGGAGTTTGCCAGAAATTGATGGCTTGAGCAAAGAGACAGTGCTGAGCTCCTGGATAGCCAAATATGATGCCATTTACAGGGGTGAAGAGGACTTGTGTAAACAGCAAAACAGAATGGCCCTGAGCACTGTTTCTGAACTTATTCTGAGCAAGGAACAACTCTATGAAATGTTTCAGCAGATTTTGGGGATTAAAAAACTAGAACACCAGCTTCTTTATAATGCATGTCAGGTAAGTGATCATGATATTTCCTATTCCCCTGACTCACAGAATGAACACCAAGTCTTTACAAGCCTACGAAGATGTACTTTACTTTCTCTAATCACTTTGTTTGAAAAGGTGAGTGAAATTGAATTTTAATATGTCAAATCATGACATTTGGAAGAAGCTTTGCAAGAATTATTTGATAGGAGAAGAATATCTGTGCATTTTATTCAGTAAGTAATTGTTCCATATGCCCTATTTTAGGACATCAGATTTGTACCTATTGGGTATATGTGTATGGGGCATGCCCTGGATAGTAAAGTGAAAATCGTCTGTGTTCTGAAGAAGCCTGGCAATTTATAATAAACAGGTATTCCTCACTGCAGAATAATTTTTCATAAAGGTATGATACTCATCTTCAGAGTTTTACGGAAGTGACTGAAATTTCAAAAATTTTTTCTTTAACCCAGCCAGATAGAAATGAATTGAGGCAGATTGCTAAACTACGTAATTTAGAGGTGACAGAGTAAATAATATATTTTCTTTTCAGTTGTTATTTTAATAATACATATGAAAAACTAAATAAAATATCATGTTTGTTCCATGTCTTTCATCTTTAGATCCTATGATTTGTCTAAATGTATTCCTCCCTTAGTTGTATTTTGTTTGCTTATTTTAGAGCTATAAATTATTTAACTGTGCCCTAATATACAATTTAAATTGACAAAATTCTGGCATTTTAAAATTCCTGTGTTCATTAAGAGTCACACTTCTATAATGTACATATGTTTACATTTATTTTAAATCTTTTTGCAAATCTCCTCAATTTCTGTATTCTATGTGTATCATTTACTTTGCATTACTAATTTGTGAATCATTTCCAATGAATAAATTAGCAGAGTTAATTAATGGAAAAGCAATGTGGAACCTTAACCCTGTGAACAATTCATGCTTTCACTATAATTGTTTTTACTGCATTATTAAACCAGGTGGTGGTTTTGATAATATTGGAGGATGACTGTACAGCCAAAATCTTTCATTGTAAAAGAAACACAACTGGGACTTTCTGTTTTTAATGGAGCAGTAGCTCACTTGTATAGTTAAATATTGATGAACATAATTTATTAGTAAAATTCAGATTCAGACATTGAGTAAATGTTTACCGAGTATTCAAGCCAAAAACTTTGCTAGGTGTTGGGGAAACCAACCTTAACTAAATAAAATATTTGTTCTCTATGTGCTGAAGTCTTAATAGAGCAGGTAGATCTCTAAAATAAGTTATTACAAATGCAGTAGAATTTATCCTGAATGTTACAGGGTCATAACATAAATTCCTGTGGACCTACGAGTTTATGTTTATTTACTCAAAATGTACTAAAATTAATCTTTTGTTTACTTTTAAAGATCACTTCTACAGCAAGGGTTTTGACCTCCTGGTTTCTGTCCTCTGTGATTTGGAACATATTGGGTTGACCAAAAGGTTCATTCGATGTTTTCTGTCAGATGGCTCTAGTAGTGCTTAGTTGTCTTTAACTTCATTCAAAACAGTTTTGTGGGCTTCCCTGGTGGCGCAGTGGTTGAGAGTCCGCCTGCCGATGCAGGGGACACGGGTTCGTGACCCGGTTTGGGAAGATCCCACATGCCGCGGAGCGGCTGGGCTCGTGAGCCATGGCCGCTGAGCCTGCGCGTCCAGAGCATGTGCTCCGCAACGGGAGAGGCTACAACAGTGAGAGGCCCACGTACCACAAAAAAAAAAAAAAAAACAGTTTTGTTAGATTGTATTATGACCACTGTCATAGCAGCATGCATTAAAAAAAAACTTACCAAATCGGTGAATTTTTGTGTAGCCATTTTAATATTGAAGATGGAAGAAGAAAAGCACATTTTCGGCATATTATGCTTTATTATTTCAAGAAAGGTAAAAAAACAACTAAAATGCAAAAAAAGATTTGTGCAGCGTATGGAGAAGGTGCTGTGACTGATCGAACGTGTCAAAAGTGGTTTGCAAAGTTTCGTGCTGGAGATTTCTCGCTGGACGTTGCTCCACGGTCGGGTAGATTGGTTGAAGTTGATAGCGATCAAATCAAGACATTAATTGAGAACAGTCAGTGTTATACCACGCAGGAGATAGCCGACATTCTCAAAATATCCAAATCAAGCGTTGAAAATCATTTACACCTGCTTGGTTATGTTAATCGCTTTGATGTTTGGGTTCCACATAAGCGAAAGAAACCTTCTTGACCATATTCCTGCATGCGAGTCTCTACTTAAACGTAACAAAAACTTTTTGTTTTTAAAACAAATTGTGATGGGTGATGAAAAGTGGATACTGTACAACAATGTGGAACGGAAGAGATCGTGGGGCATGCGAAGTGAACCACCACCAACCACGCCAAAGGCCGGTCTTCAACCAAAGAAGGTGATGTTGTGTATATGGTGGGATTGGAAGGGAGTTCTTTATTATGAGCTCCTTCCAGAAAACCAAACGATTAATTCCCAACAAGCACTGCTCCCAATTAGACCAACTGAAAGCTGCACTGGACGAAAAGCATCCAGAATTAGTCAACAGAAAACACATAATCTTCCATCAGGATAATGCAAGACCACATGTTTCTTTGATGACCAGGCAAAAACTGTTACAGCTTGGCTGGGAAGTTCTTTTTTTTTTAGATTTTTTTTGATCTGGACCATTTTTAAAGTCTTTATTGAATTTGTTACAATATTACTTCTGTTCTATGTTTTGTTTTTTTGGCTTCAAGGCATGTGAGATCTTAGCTCCCGGACCAGGAATCGAACCCACACCCTCTGCACTGGAAGGCGGAGTCTTTAACCACTGGACCACCAGGGAAGTCCCTTGGATGGGATGTTCTGATTCATCCACCGTATTCACCAGACATTGCACCTTTGGATTTCCATTTATTTCGGTCTTTACAGGATTCTCTTAATGGAAAAAATTTCGATTCCCTGGAAGACTGTAAAAGGCATGTGGTACAGTTCTTTGCTCAAAAAGATAAAAGGTTTTGGGAAGATAGAATTATGAAGTTGCCTGAAAAATGGCAGAAGGTAGTGGAACAAAAACAGTGGGAAGCAGCCGCATGGCACAGGGATTCCGGATCGGTTCTTTGTGGCTGCCTGGAGGGGTGGGATAGGGAGGGTGGGAGGGAGGGAGACAAAGAGGGAAGAGATATGGGAATATATGTATATGTATAACTGATTCACTCTGTTATAAAGCAGAAACTAACACACCATTGTAAAGCAATTATACCCCAATAAAGATGTAAAAAAAAAAAACAAAACAGTGAATATGTTGTTCAATAAAGTTCCTAGTGAAAATGAAAAACATATCTTTTATTTTTACTTAAAAACCGAAAGAACCTTTTGGCCAACCCAATACTTCTAGTTCAAATCTCTATCTGTAATAATGGATTTATTTTTACCTTCAGTTCTATCAGTATTTGCCTCATGTATCTTGATGCTTTGTTAGGTTCATACACATTTAGCATTTAGCATTGTCATGTCTTTTTGTGGAATTAACCCCTTATATAAAGTCCCTCTCGGTCCCTGATAATCTTTTTTTCTACTTTGTCTCAAACTAATATGGCTACTTCAGCTTTCTTTTGATTAGGGTTAGCAGGGTGTATCTTTCTCCATCTGTTTCTTTTTAACCTGTCTGATTCTTTGTTTAAAGTGGGTTTCTTGTAGACAGCTGCATATTACCTCTGGTTTTTGTTTCTGTTTTTAATCTAGTCTGACAATTTCTGTCTTTTAATGGATGTGTTTAGACCGTTTGTATGTAAAGTGATGCAGTTGGATCACATTCTGCAGTCTTTTTAAGTGTTGACTCTTCTTTGCATTTGTTCTTTGTCTCCCTTCCTTTTTCTGCCTTCTTTAATTTTAATTGAACATTTATATGATTCCATTTTATATTCTCTTTTGATGCACTACTTATCTTTTTAAAAAGCGTGTTTAGTAATTGCCCTAGGGCTTACAATATGTATTTTAAAATAATCTAAGCTTACCTTCAGATAACACTATAAGGCTTCAAGTGTCGTACAGCTCTCCCATAATAGAGAATTCTCAATTCCTCCCTCCCATCCCTTGTGAAATTTCTGTCATTCATTTCACTTATAATATGCTCTATTCACCAAACATATTGTTACTACTCTTGCTTTAAACAGATAATTTTTAGATGAATTAATAAGAAAAATAAAAGACATATGTGTGTGTGTGTGTGTGTGTGTATATATATATATATATATATATATATATATATATATTTTCACTAAAAAAAACATATGTGTGTGTGTGTGTGTGTGTGTATATATATATATATATATATATATATATATATATAATTTCACCTTCATTTATTCCTTCTCTGACACTTTTCTTTCTTCATGTAGATCCAAGTTTCTGACCTACATCATTTTCCTTATCTGAAAAACTTCTTTGAACATTTTTTGAAAGGCAGGACTACTGATAATGAACTCCCCCAGTTATTGTATATCTGATAAAAATCGTCTCTGTTTCTTCTTTATCTTTAAAGGGTAATTTCATTAGATATAGAATTAGCTTTTTTTCTCTTTTAACATTCTAAAGATTTCACTCCATTTTCTTGCTTGTGTGGTTTCTGATGAGTAGTCCGATCAAGCTCTTATCCTCGATTCTCTGTAAGGTGTTTTGTTTTTTTGTCCTCTGGCTTCCTTTAATAATTTCTCCTTGGCTTAGTTTTCTGCAGTTCAAATATGATATGCCTGGGTATGAGTTTTTTGATATTTCTCCTGCTCGGTATTTTCTGAGCCTCCTGAATTTAGGGGTTGGTGTGTGTCATTACGTTTGGAAAATTCTCAGCCATTATTAATTCAAACGTTCCTTATATCCTATTCTCACCTTCTCCTGCCAGTATTTTAGTTATATTTGTTATGTCTACTTATGTTACTCATCACAGTTCTGGGATGTTCTTTTTATTTTTTTGTTTGCTTTTTAGTTCTCTTTCTCTTTGCATTTCAGAGAGGGAAGTTTCGGCT